TTTTTACTGTCGAAAAAATCATAACTTTTTTGGGCTAAAACTCCATTTTTTTCTATCAAATGAGTACAAGAAACCACCCATTTACCAATTTCAACTATCCAATAAAGTGGTCAGAATTTTAGCAATTTTGCCAATTTCACACAAATTTCAAAGATGCCAATTTCTGAATAGGGTCCAGAATAAACAAGAAAGACATTCTTGGCACTAAAATAACAAGTTCTCTGTTCGTTAGTCACATCCCCAGGCCCCTCTTATATTTCTTTGGCTTTCCACTTTGATTTTTATTCTTACAAAAAAAAAAAAAATAAGATTTACTGTTATGCAGACTACTGCATTAGTGTAGAAATGGTATAAATAATATCAGCGCACTTGTGAAAGAATATTAGACTCACCAGTTGATGTGTATTGGACGCTTGGCATGATTTGTTTACTTTTGAACTTTGGTAAAAATCGAACATTTCTGCTACTTTGAGCTCAATTTCAAGGTACTTTTCATTGTAAAACCATCAAAGTCATCTCAATTTCTGTAATATGTCTTCCATTCTATAAAATAAGACCAAGAAAACTAGAATACAACAATAAATACAATACGAAAATACAGTGCAAAGTCGCTGTTTTAATCCAAAAACACGGTCATAGTTTTTTTTTCTCATTACGCACTGTGTGCTGCAGGATTTTTTTATACTGTGCACACTGACCACATAGACCCATTCTTACATATGTAGGCCTACCAGCTTTCTCTCACTAGATTTGAGGGCGCTAGAATTTAGGCGTACTAGTACGTCAAAAACCCTGGGTCATAAGATGCACTAGTACATCCGAAACCCCCAAAGGGTTAAAGGAATCCCAGGTACAGAGCTCCATGGACAGATTTTTTGGTGCGACAGAGGTCCAGTGACTGTCAAGTTGTTCCCAGTGGCATTAAAAAAAGAAGGGAAGTAACCCCGGAAAAGGACTTGGTACCTAAAGTCCTTATGGAAGGGGATTCCCCTTCCAAACAATAATACACGTCCATCTCCCCTCCTCCCATCTGATCACTCACCAATAAATCTTCAATAAAGGTGTCATTTATTCTTCATGTAGTATTTATTGTGCATGTATCCTTGTTTTTCTGTGTAGAAAAATGTATATTTCATGTAAAAAAAAAAAATCATACTTTTGGGTGTCTGGAACAGATTAATTGGATTTCCATTAGTATTTCTTATGGGGAAAATTAAATCAGCTAACGATAAATTCGGCTGAGGACAAACTCTCTGGAACGGATTAATATCGTTGGTCGAGGATCCACTGCATGTAATAATGTCAGTATGATAATAATAATAACAGCAATAATAATAATACTGTACCAAACACTGCATCTTTAACTACCAGAACAAATATCAAGATACTTAAAGCTAGAGGTACAGTGTGGTGCTACATGCACCAACAATATAACAGGGCCCAGGAATTTACATTTTTCGACTTTTACATTTTGCCACCGAAGTGGCTAGTTTATTGTGCACCCCATATCCATCCTGTGGATGGTAGTGCAAGAGCATATGGATACACAAAAGGCCCAGGAACTAGGCCCCAAAGGGTTAACAGGAATACATATGGATTTATATCTACATATCTATAGTTCACTTATCTGTTACAAGCAAATCTAGGAAATTTGCTTAGTATATCTGGTATCTTATTTTCATTAACCCTTTGAGGGTCGACAGGCCCTCTCCGAAACTCGTTCTCAGGGTCGGCCAAATTTAAAAAAAAAAAAAATTATTTTCTCTTATGAAAAGATAGAGAATCTTTTCCCGATCATAAAGACACCAAAAGTTTGAAATTTGATAGAAAACTTATGGAATTATGCTCTCGCAAAGTTAGCGGTCTCGGCGATGTTTACGCATCGGCGATTTTTGCCCACTTTGAGCCCCATTTTCGGCCAATTTTCACTGTACTAGTCGACAAAAAACATGAATATTTCGCTAGAACTCCATTTTTTCTATCGAATGGGTGCAAGAAACCACCCATTTATGAAATTCAACTATCCAGTACAGTGGTCAGAATTTAGCAATTTTGCCAATTTCACACAAATTTCAAAAGATGCCAATTTCCGAATAGGGTCCAGAATAAACAAGAAAGACATTCCTGGCACTAAAATGACATTTCCTCTAGTCATTAGTCACGTCTCAAGCCCCTCTTATATTCTTTTGCTTTCCACTTTGAATTTTTATTTCTCACAAAAAATATAAGATTTACTGTTATGCAGACTACTGCATTAGTGTAAAAATGGTATAAATATTATTGGTCCACTTGTGAAAGAATATTAGACTCACCAGTTGACGTGTATTGCACGCTTGGCACGATTTTGTTTACTTTGAAGTTTGGTAAAAATCGAACATTTCTGCTACTTTGAGCTCAATTTCAAGGCACCTTTCATTGTAAAACCAGTCAAAATCATCTCAATTTCTGTAATATGTCTTCCATTCTATAAAATGAGACCAAGAAAACTAGAATACAACAATAAATACCATACGAAAATACACTGCAAAGTCGCTGATTTATTCCAAAAAAATGGTCAGTTTTTTTTTCCTCATTATGCACTGTGTGCTGCAGGATTTTTTTTAGACTGTGCACACTGACCACATAGACCCATTCTTTCATATGAAGGCCTACCAGCTTTCTCCCACTAGATTTGAGGCCGCTAGAATTTATGCGTACTAGTACGTCAAAAACCCCTACGCATAAGACGTACTAGTACGACCAAAACCCTCAAAGGGTTAATAAGATATCATGACATGTCACATAGGTTATTATACTGTCTCTGTATTCCTCAATAAGTGGACAATTAAGCACATAGTGTTCAAGACAGTGACCATATGCCTGATTACATAATTTGCATTTAGTTTGATCATCATCTGTGTGTCTCCCAAACTGCCAGAAGTACTTGTAACCAAGCCTAAGCCTGGCCACTACAACATCAGTCAGTCTGTTCACATTGCACGTTGCTCCATAAACATACTTATCTACATTCATGTTATCATAGTGGGTTATAGATCTACTCAGGCTTCTAATTGCATTCCTATAACAATCATTTTCATTATTTACTTCTCTCCTAATATTATTCCTAATGCTAGATACAGTTATACCAAAGTTATATTCTACATTCACCTTCTGGGTACTCTTCCTGGCTAACATATCAACTTTATCATGAAGGAATAATCCAATGTGTGATGGGATCCGTAGCAACTGTACATTAATTCCTTTGTCCCTGATTTTTGAGTATCTATACCTGGCTTCTCCAATGAGCATGTTATTGGAGTCATTATATGAGTCAAGAGCCTTCAATGATGACATAGAATCAGTAATGATGATAGAGTCAAGCTCAGTGTCATAGGTTAGCTTTAGCGCCATTAGGATTGCAAACAATTCCGTTTGCAGTGTAGATGCCCAGTTGTTAATTCTTATGCCTAACTCAACAAATTTATTATCGTTCTTAACTAGGGAGGTGGCAACAAGAGCAGATGCAGCCCTGGAATTTACATAATAGCTAAATACTACTAAAAATTTACATTATGGTTAAGCAAATTCCTGAAAAGATGAAAAAGAATTAACCTTAATAAGTACCTCCTTAACCCTTAAACTGTCCAAACAGATCTACATTCACATGTGTAGTGCTCCAAAAGTAGATCTACGTTTTTTAACATATTTTCAAAAAAAAAAAAAAAAAAAAAAAAAAAAAAAAAAAAAAAAAAAAAAAAAAAAAAAAAAAAAAAAAAAAAGTAAATCAAAGTTTTTTTACGTTTTCAAATGTAAAAAAAAAAGAAAAAGAAGCTCTACATTTTTTACATACTTTCAAATGTTGAAAAAACGTAGATCTACGTTTGAACAGTTTAAGGGTTAACAAAACTCCTGATACTGTTTTACAAAGTGAAGCTAGAGAAAGGAGGTAAGGAAACATGAGAATAGGAAGGTTGTCAAATTGAGGGAGGACTATAATACAAATAAAAGATTACTTACCCTGGGCTTTTGAGATTCTTGTTTATCAGCATTATCAGGCTGTTTTGCATCATTACTGCTATTCTTGTCTTCATTATTACATTTCTGGTTATAAATATTCTTGGTTAAATCTGGCAACTCAAAGTCATGTATCATAGAAGGTTCTAGATTTAATTTGGGCATCATCTTTGTATCCAGAGTTTCAGATGTTAAAGTAGCATTGGCTGTTGTTTCTACTGATGGCTGGTCCTGTGGCCATGGTGAAATATCATTCTTTGTATTATCTGACCCTTGTGGATCCTCTGATTGTCCAGGTAAACTATCCAACTGTGTGTGCGGGTTCTGTGACAGAGTTGAAATATTTTGTCCTGTATTTATGGATTCTTGTTTAGACTCCAACTGTGTGTGTGGGTTCTGTGGCAGAGTTGAAATATCTTGTCTTGTATTTATGGACTCTTGCTTAGACCCCAACTGTGCATGTGGGTTCTGTGGCAGAGTTGAAATATCTTGTCTTGTATTTATGGACTCTTGCTTAGACCCCAACTGTGCATGTGGGTTCTGTGGCAGAGTTGAAATATCTTGTCTTGTATTTATAAACTCTTGCTTAGACTCCAACTCTGTATGTGGGTTTTGTGGCTGAGTTACAAAAATTGTTCCTTTATTTTCTAATGCTATATTAAAATCAGATGACTCCTGTATGACTTCTGCATCATTGTCTAAAAGTTGAAAAAAATTATTAGAGTCCAGGATCTCAAGAGGTTCCTTGCAATTCAAAAGATTGTATTTCTTTGTGCCCCTTGTGAAGGGGCAGTGGTGTTACTCACAGGTGTGACAGCATTCAAGATAGACTTGCCTTTTCTACCTATACCTCTAGAAGACGTCATTCTATTGAGAGCAAGAGGGCGGCCTCTTGTCTGTAGAGAACCTCTTTTTATGTTACTTATACACTCTCGTGTAATCTGTCTTTTTGAGTCTGGAGTGCTTGTTTTGAGAGGTCCAGTTCGACACACAAGAGTACTCTGCTGTATCGAAGAACCAATATATTGTCTACCTTGCCCTCTAAAACTTGAAGGTGTGACCCCTCTTTCTGAATCACTTATGCTACTAGAAGAAGGTGCACTTATAACTTGTTTTTGTTTTGTTGGAGTCTGGTATGAGTTTTGAAGATCTCTTCGAACATGTGTTGCTGAAAACTTTGAGTGGCCTTGATGGCTTGAATAAATTTCAATAGGGTCATCTGAATTACTAACTGGTGATTGTGGTGGTACTGGATTTTGGCTCTTCTTATTTAAAGGGGAGCTCTTGTTAGGGGCAGAATTTTTGCTGTGTGACTTTACAGGTGTTAATGAAATATCAGTACTGGAAAATAGCCATGCAGGAACATCTAATAAAGTTGAAGTAATGCCACCTGAACTAATAACTGTGCCACATTTCTTAAGTTTTTTAATTATGGTTTCTTTTTCACTATCATTTTCCTTATCAGGTTTCTTTTCTTTTTCTTGTGAGCTTTCACCTGAATTTTTACAACAGCAGCAATGATTCTTGTTCTTCTCACTGCTATTATCCAAAGAGTTGGTGGAAAAACTGGCTCTATCACTATTTCCACTGCTTTTGACTTCAGTTTCTTCTTTCTCATACAATTTTACACATGTTATAGAAGACTGAAGGTGAGCCATCAATTCTTCCTCTTGTGAGGTATTACTTAACATCTCTGTACTAATCTTTGGGAATTTATTAGTTGCCAACAAATTCTGTTCCAATTTCAAGAGTCCTGGAGTCTGGAGACATTCTATTTCTAACTGTCTTGCAACTTCAATAAATCTAATGAGCATGCTTTCTTTTACAATGGCAAGATTGTTATAGAAAAAATCTAAAATACATGACATTACATCTGGGTCAATGTCATTGAGAATTACAGCATGTGATGATGCATCTGAGAAACATGTATGAAGCTTCTTACTAAATGATGAGACAATTAATCGATGAACTTTGAAGGTCTTGTTTTTCACCACGAGACTTGCATCTGTAAGAAAATTCTGAAAAATCAAAAGCAATTGTCAGTCATTCAGTATTAAGAAGAATAAATTCAGTATTACTGTCAGATTGTATAATATTGTAATCAGAATTCTATTGTTTCCCCAGCTTTAAGGCCCTTACTGGCTTAGCAGTTTTATACTAACATAATAATCACACATTATGTAAATTACGGCATCAATTTAGCACTAGTATTACTAACACAAAGCAAGCAGAATACTGTATATACAATTTTTTAATATAAGTGGATCAAAGGAAAAAGAGAATAAGTAAGTAAGTTTATTCAGGTATACACAAATACAGTTACATAGATTATCATACATAGCAGCATAAGTGTAGAGAACCTAGGATAACCCAAAAGAGTCAGACAGAGTGACTTATTTCCATTGGGGTCCCTCTGTTACCTTATCGATAATATTACATTCATATAAAAATCAAATGTGGCAGACAACAAATTATATAAAAATGACACATAAAACAAATTGTATAAAATAATGAATAAAAGATGAAGATAGGATAAGTAGACCACAAGAATTATGACAATATAAAAAAAATATGAAGAATGCTAAATTATAATCGATTTCACTCTGAAAATTAATTATCAATCTGTTGGAATACAATGAAAAATAGAAGACAATGAGTATATATCAAAGATTAATAATCATCTCTAGGGAATGCATTTACTGCCCTAATAACAGATGTTGATAGGGACTTGTCCCTCCTTGGTGGGACAGCCAGACAGCCACTGCAAATAGCAGTAGGTTGTGCCAGGATTCGTTGTTTGCAGGGGTAAACAAGAGGTCAGCGAATTTACTAGCAGCTTGAGGGAGAACTGCTTTGTGGATGTGTGTTAGCGTCCTGGTGGATGTTAATTTGATTGCAATTTTAGGTCCTGCATAGAGGTGAAGTCGCGATAGCTGTCAGCTCTGTCTGCTGGGAGGGGCTGTTGGTTGTCCCCACTTGGAGCTCTCTGGGAGCTTAGACATCCATTGTGTGCACAGAGGTTGAGATTTGAGGGCTTGAGTGCACACTCCCTGTGGCACACCTGACAGATGCCTTGTGGTCGAATTCCAGGGCACCGGCTCTGTAGTGGAAGTTCCTGGGAACCCAGCATATCTTGTGATATTGCTGGGCATTGGAGAGCACCAGTGTGGTGACCTGGTGGGGCCTAAGGGGCTGGGAGGGGAAAAGTACCCTCTACAGTTGGGGTTTCGCTGGGAGTTGGTTGGGTGAGGTGGGGGAGTTGAATGGTGGAGGCGCAGGTACTTTGGTGGGGGAAGCCCGGGGTGAGGGGATATTGGGAGGCGCAGGAGGATCACTGTACACTACACACAGGGTAAGCCTGGGGAGAGGGGTAAGGGGCAGTCACTGTATACAACACACAGACTGCACACTGTTGATCACAATGTCAGCATAAAGTAACACTGAGTGGCAAAACGAGTTAGCAGACAACTTCAATATTGATGAATGTGTTAATATTTTTTTACAAAAAACCCAAAACCTCTATAACATGCATTGCCCAATCAAAACTAAGCAAATCACAGCAAAGAGACTAAACAGCTCCTGGCTTACAAAGAGCATCCTCAGATCTATTGATAAAAAAACATCTACAGTATATGAAAAACAGTACAGAATGGGTCTAATAATAAATGATCTTGCAAAGCATTACTCATCAATACTAACCAATATAATAAGGTCAAAAACCCTGTATTACAAAAACAGATTTCATGACATAAAAGGTGATATGAAAAAGACCTGGAAAACCTTATCTGATATTCTAGGAACTAAAAAGCTGTCACTAAACAGAATGATTAACTTAACAAAACCAGAAGAACCTCTCCTCCAGCCAACCGACACTGCCAACAAACTTAATGTCTTTTTCTCGACCGTAGGAACAAAGCTAGCAAGCAAAATCCCAAACTCAAACATTCAACCAAAAGACTACCCAAATACTCTATCTCGCTCATCATCAAACCACTAAAGAACAAGGCAGGAGATCTAAACAACTTACCACCACTCATGTATAAAAAAGCTTCTCATGTGTTGTCACCAATTATTCCAACTCTTTTTAAAAAATCCATTGAATCTTCCCCCATCCT